GCGATTAGAACAACGCTTTTTTTTCTTCTCTTCGGACATGAAAAAACACCTCGTTCTCTCTCTCTTTCCCTCGCATGACATACTCCAAATGAAACTAAAACCTTCAAGTTGATTGCTCAGCAAAATCAGCTGACTCAGAAAGTTGAGCGCAGCCCAATGGATCTCCACAAATTCCATTGCACACACGTCATACAGATTAAATTCTAAATAATATGACTTAATAATAACCAAAGTCAATTAAATAATAATATAATAATTTATTAGTCATGGTTTGGTATCTAAATTAAAACTGCATTAATATTTAGAATTACGATTTTTACACAAAATTCAATGAAATATTTTTTATACCAAACAAAAAATCACTTTGGAAATCTTCGACTTTGGACCATAGATTGATTTTTTAGCTCTTACTTATGATCAAAAATGATTCAAATGTATATCGTGACAATGATAAATTCAATAAACAAGGCTATTCAATTTGTTAGAATTTTACATAAACTACTTTAGCAAAAATCCAATTTACAATTACAATTTATGCGATGTTATCTACAAATAAATACTTTAGATAAACACGTCAAAGTTGTTCTCTCCATGATATCGCACAATTTAGCCGAGAATCAAGCTGTACTTAAACATGTATTTGTATATTGTATATATTAGTCAGATTAGTCAAATAAAATACCCTGTATATCTTCACATGTAAGAACTATATAAATTTATTAATTCACATTTACACATATACAATTCAATAAGTGCATATAATAAAAAAATAAAACTTAATATATTAGTAGAAATTAATACTCATAAATAATCCATCAAGATTAAGATTTAAAGATCCCCTCAGTCTATATTAATAGTCATATTTGTTCATATAATTCAGATACCATGAACTGTTCGAATTTATTCTTGAGAATTATAAAAAATACATGTTTACTAATACTCATAAATAATATCGATCAGCAGAAAGAGATCTTATCTTTGAAAATACTTAAGATTAAGTTTCCCATCCCCTGACTGCTTAACCGGAATCAGCCCTCATTATCAGCTCTAAACGCATCAATCACTTATATATATATAGATATGGATATATATATATACATGAGTAAGTGTATATGTCATGTTGGTTGTGGAACATGATAAAATGCTTTACGTTTTCCTGTTTCATTTTATTTTTTTTTTTTGTCGTATTCTAAATATCATATTATAAGCGACTGCTTTTTTTGTGTTAGTTGACTTCGATAAGCCCGACTCAATATCGCAATTGTTTACGGGGCTGTGACTCAAGATTAAAGCGTTCCCAAGTGACCCTCCCCCCATTCCCGTTCCCCTTCTTTGCCCATTATCGCACTTGATATGGAAATGTGCTGTCCAAAAAGCAACCACAACAACAAAAATGAACTTAAAATTAAAACAACAATTTTCTGTAATTTGTAATGCGAGTTGTTCTTGTTGCTATTGCTATTAGTTGTTATTCTTATTTATCTGCTGATATTTCCTGGTGCGATTTCACAATCGGTTAATGCAAATACAAAAAAAAACAGAGAAAATAACAGAACATTATACAAAACAACAGAAGCTTATCGCGCTTATTAAACACAATGTCAAAATGGCCAAAGCTCGTATCGAGCTTATCTGCGCTATTTGCTCTCTCATATGCAATGCAATCGACCCCCTCCCTCCTCCCTACCTCTATCTCTCTCGCTTACTACTCTTTCGCATAATGATGCTCTCAATTGGAAGTTTAAAGAGGGGGAAGGGTCTTTAACAGCAGCAATTGACAGCACAGGGTGGCCTTGATTCTAGCCAGCTACCTGAGCTTTAGCATTTCTTTTCTTCTTTTTCTCTTTTTTTTATCAAATTTGCACATGCAAATGGCAAATACGTATGTAGACATATGTGTACATATGTACATCTATGTAAAGGGGCCTCTGCTGCTATTATCGACGACGAACGCAAAACCAACTGAATGACACGTTCCCAGCGATTGTCAGCGAGTCCAAAAGAGTCAAAGTCGAAGTCGACGTTGAGTCAAGTTGAGTTTTTGAGACCAGAGAGCTTTTGAGCTCTACTTGCAAAATTCGGAATTTGGAATTGTCACCCGCATGATGACGGGCAAGTTGTGCTGGTCGTGTCTTTTGTTACGCACTCTTCTTCTTCCTCTTCCTCTTCCTCTTTTTTGCAACACCCTTACAAACGAGCATTTTAAGTTTGTCGTGATGTTTGTAACGGCGACTTCTCAATATAGAAAATTCAACGCAAACTATTCTTCTATATTTTAGAATATTTAGAAAGAGTGTGTGTTAAATTCGATGTGTTTTTTGTTGGTTTTGGGCAGATAATAACATAACACACAGAGCACAAAACAGAACAACAGCTGGCAATTAACATAAAATTAGTGATAAGAGGTAATTAAAATTTATAAAAAATAAAGAGAAGGGGTTGGGAAAAAAAACGCAAAGTGTTTATCTATGCCGTTGTCGACCTGTGGCCCAGAGGGACACAAACACACACACATACACAGACAGCAGCAGCAGTCACGATTGCCCAACACTAACTTGGCACAGCGTTGCCGTATCGGAAAACAAAATAACAACAACAACAAGCAGACTACGCAATACTTTTGCACAGTTTTCTGTTCGTTTACTGCTGCGGTTGCGGCTGCTGCCTGCAGTTGTGATAAAAGTTTATCGACTGTGCGCTTTAAAGCAATAGAAATTGTTTGCAAGCAACAAGAACAACAATAACAACAGTTAGCAATAAGTAGCAGCCGCTGCAAGTGTGCTATAGATAAATATGCAAAGCAAAGAGAGAGAAAGAGAAAAAGAGAAAGGAGTGAAAGAGAGCAAAGATTGCAAGGGCTTGCACGTAAAAATGTGCAAGTGTAGTTGGAAAGAGAGGGGCAGGTGGGGGCGGGGGTGCGGTGAGTCGTTCTTTGGCCAAAGCACGAAACGCAACACGACTCAACACGAAAGATCGCGTTAATTAATCAAATTTGACTGCAGCACGACTTTAATTGGAATTTCAGGCCTAAGAGATAACAATCACCAAAAAAATAAAATTAGTAAAGATAAAAAATAGACATTTAGCATAGATAATGAAAAGATAACGCAAACAATATATTAGAAACCTACATAAAGCCTAGGCTCAAGCTAGTATTTCAATTAGAAGCTTTAATTAATAAGGAATAATATTAATAAATATCAATTAAATAAATGTAATATTGATAATAATGATAAAAATAATAACATAATATAATAATACATATTTCCTCTTATACATTTGGCTGACTTTGAGATCAATTTTGCCTTTGAGTAAGTTCAAATTCATATTTAAATTAAAAGCTTAAACTAACAACTTCATAAATAAGGAAAAATATTATTGAATATCAGATATTTGACTGACTTTATTACCAATTTTGCTTTTGAGTAATGTCAAATAATGCGACACCTGCCCATCTCTAGCAAGAAGAAAGCAAACGACGCAGGTGCAACAACAACTAAAACTACAACAACAGCTGCATAGATAACAACGCTAATTTATCGAAACGGTGGACGTCGCTCACTTTGGCGATTATGCAGTGTACACACACACACTCACACATATACAGAGACACGCACACACACATAGATATTGTATTTCTTTTGTTGTTATCCAGTGGCATTTCTTCGGCTCGGTTATCCAGTGTGTACACACTGCATTTTAAGTTTTACGACTGAGGTGATATCATTGCAGCAACAACAATAACAACAACAACAACAAATCCAACTCAACCTGAACTCAGAAACGTGCTCGCGATAATGGAGTTTAAGTCCGAGGAGCAGAAGGGGGGATGGGGGAAGGGGGCGATTAGTTAAGACTTGAAGCTACAGTTGTGGCACGTATTATCGATTTCGATTTCAAAATGCATTCATTGGATTGTACTTCATATGTGTATATCAAATGGCAAAACAACGAAATGTAATTAGTTAATACCCATAGTAAGGTGTGTCCCCAGCTGCCCCCAACCACCTACCACCTACCACCTACCGCACCCCACCCCACTCTCTCTCTCGAGTTGTGTTAACAAAGAAATTTCATTTAAATAAAGTTGCGAGCAACAACAAGATGAAATCAAGTTGACATTCGCATAGTTTTTTTGTTTTTTATTTATTATTCGTATACCCTGTAGTCGGAAGAGTGGCGGGTGTTATGAGATTCTGCAAAGATTGTTACATATATTATAAAAATATATAGTCAACACATTTTAATTTATTTGGTTTCTCTTCAAAGAAAATAGAGACTTAAAGTTTGTTTACAATTATTTTTAATAATTGAATTTATTTACATTAAAGTCGATAATGAGAAAGTTTCTTAATTTTAAGTTACTTTTAAAAGTACCATTCATTGATAATTATAATGATTGTTTAATATTAATATTAAAACATTTGTGTAAAAAATATTTAATAAAACGAAATTAGTTTTGAATAATTACATTTGCTTAGAGGAGAATCAATTTCACATCCGCTGATCATTTGCAACTCTATTAAAACAACAATTAAAAAGATGCGAGTTCTGATTAATCAAATTTATAAAATACTGTAAAATAAAACGAGCTCAGTTTTTTGTCACATGTCTGAATAAATGAATAAATCAATAAGTATTAAAAATAATTTATGTAAAAACTTGATTACTAAACTATAATTTTACAATTTCTTCACAGCTTACAGGCTAACTGTTAGTCGTTCATTCCAGCTTCTTTTATATTTATTTTATGTATTGTTTTCTTTTTTTGGCTGTGCAACTTTGGTTGACTGATTTACCCCCCGTTGCCCCCGCTGCTCAACCACATTGCCACCCACAGTTCGTTCACATGTTTTTTTTAATGTTTATTTTATAGACGAGCAAATGGAAAAGCCCAAAAAATGCATTACAAGCTGACAATGCGATTTTCTAAAGCAGGTGTAAGTTGTGCTTAAGAAGGGGGTGTAGGTGCGGGGGGAGTGGTTGTGATTGAAACTTACCTTTATTCAACGGCTTTGGATTCGACTGTTTGCGTCGTGACATTGTTTGGTTAAACCAAAATGCAAATTGCTTGGGTGCCCCTAATGCAGAGGAGCTGTTCCTGTTCCGAGGAGGAGCAGCAGCTGCGTCTACATCAAAACTAACGTTTTGCTGCTTTCCAGTGTTGGGCTTAACATTTACCGGCGGACAGAATCACACACTGGAAAACACACACACACACACATACACACACTCGCACACAAAAGACACTCACTCGTACACTCGTACAATTTGTAGTTATAAAAATATCAATATCAATTATTATTTATAGCGCTTAGTGAATAATTATTTTAATTAATTTAATTTAACGAGCGGCGCGCAACGATCGCGAAACGGCATTTAAAATTGATATTGAAAACTGATTGGGCAAATCGCTTAAACTGACAACGATCTTCCAATCGGTTTTTTATTATTTTTTTGCATTTGAGAATTGCAATTGTTGTTTATTTTTGTTTGGTTGTCGCGTGGTTGCGTCGGCGTCGTGTATGCGTTTCTTTTGGGGCAGACAGGCGACGTCCAAACAGTGCAAAGGCTTGCTCACAACTGAAGTGCTGCCAACGTCGTCGTTGCCGTCGCTGCTGCTGCTGCGCTGCCTCAGTTGTGGCCAACTGGCGAAAGCTCGCAAGCAGCATAAAACCGGTGGCGTCGTCGCTCTCTCTCTCCCTCTCTCACTTTGCGCGCGCACTCTCTCGCTCTTGCTCTCTTTCGCAGCTTTTCCATTTTGTTTTTACTTTATTTTTCATTGCGTCGCACGCTGCGCCGTCTGTTTCGTCTGTTGATAAGAATCAAAACAAAAAGCCGAAAAACTCGTCGCACGTTTTGCACTCACACACTCAATGATGGCTATGGCATTGAATTTTATTCATTTACAACATTTATTATCTTCAGCACATTCTTATTCAGTCAACACACCACTATTGCTATAATTAACACATTAAATAACACTTTTATAGCCGGCTTAAAACGCGTGTCTCGCTCAACAAGGCGAATTCAACTGCAGCTGTTCGCTGCGCACACAACCTGAATTCGCTGCGCTGAACAACTATCGCTCGCTGCAAGTATCGATAATCCCAGTTGCGATTGTTTAGGTTAGTTGGCAATGCGTGCGGCTTGTCTCAAAAGCGATGCATACTTTTGGGCGCCTATTATAAATAGATTTGTTGGAAAATTGCCCCTTCTTCAAATTGAAAACTCGTGCTTCCTAATTAGCAACTAATTTGAGTAACATCTAGAAGAAAAAAACCAGTTTATCCATTGGCCCAGGCCTACTTCAGCTGTTAAAACAAATAAATCATAAAAAGAAACAAACAAAAGAAATTTACAATTATTTCTAGCTGGCAACATTGCAAGTTACAGTTACAAATTTCAGTTGCCAGTTTCCAAGAGTTAAATTAATAACTGTATCAAAAGCAAATTTCCAGGGTATTTGCAGGCGAGCAACTACACTAGCGCTCTCTCACTCACACCACCTGCGCATATTATTCGCATTTTATTTTTTATTATTTTTTTTTGGTTTTTATTTCTTTGCTTTTTAGGTTTTTTGTCTTCTAATTTGCACCTATTGCATTTTAATGGAAATTTTTCGCTGGCTTTTTGCATTGGACGCACATAGATTTGAAAAATGCTGACAGCACAGGAAATGAAATGCTTCCTCTTCTTAAGCGGCATTTAACACAACGCGTGCCTAGCAGCGTTGATGGGGGAAGCGGAGTGGGGGGGTGGGGTGGTTTGTGCAAGGGGATTTTCGTTGCAAATTGAGAAGTTATTCATAGGCAATAAATATGGAGAAAATGTGTTGCAGAATAAGCCACGCTAACATATGGCGCACCCGATTAGCGGTTAACATAACTCAAATAACACCCACCCCCCTCCCCCTCTCCACCCAACACACCACACACAGTCGACACCCTTTTGGCGGTCATTTTGTGAGCATCAGCGGCTAATGAAGTATTCGCCCCGTTGGCCTTCGTTGCGTTCATTCGCCTGCCTTTTTTTTCCTTATTTCTTCGCCTTTTTGCCTTTTTGGCTTTTTGGCAATTTTTATGCTTTTGTTCTGTATCGGTTTTTTTTATTGTTTTTCTTTTTTTTTTGGGCATTTCGACACTCGCCCAAAAACCTATAAATACCACACGATCCGTAAGCTGCCTGCAACTGCCAATGTATCTTTATCTGTATCTTTATCTGTATTTGTATCTGTATCTGTTGCAATTGTATCTGCATCTATAAGTAAAGTCATCGCTAAGAACTTTGTAATCACAGCGGAAAAGTTATCAATATATATATATATATATATATATATATATATATATATTAGTGCTATAATTATTAATTAGCTGTTTTGAAAATCTTTATGATTTAAATATACAAATTTTCACAAGATTTCTATATTATTATATTTTTAGAAAATGTTTATGATTTGTGTATACAAATTTTACAGAATTTCGACATTTTTCTATTGTATCTTAAGAGCTGCTCAAATCAAAGTTTAATAATAATAGTATTGAGTATTTATTAAGTGAATATTGTTATAAATATATACATAAATATTATATATAATAATAATTATATTTATTAATTAAATTAAATTGAATAGTTTGCATGTGACACAAATTGAAAATTATGTTGAATTTTTTGAAAACTTGGCCATAAAAATTCAATATGTTCTTAAAACATTGGAAATGAAAATCAGAAACTGTTTTTCTATCTGTAAAATATGTAATCGAATACTTAATCTGTGTCTGCAACTGATAATGTATCTACAGCTGATAATGTAACTGGATCTGAAGGTCTGCCAATAGCTGCAAGTATCCATCAGCTATAGCTGAGCTTGCAGCTGCCACATAGCAATCTGTATCTGTATCTCCTTATGTATCTGCATCTGTATCTGTATCTGTATCTGTATCTGTATCTGTATCTGTATTTAGTGCATTACACTCGCGGCCAAAACGAGCAGAAGCTGAACAACTTCCAGGTCAAGCAACTCCCGCGGTTGCACGGCTCCTCGGCTCGAGGTTGTCCACTGCTCGCTGACCGTGGCCATAACTGAATAATTGCATCGCACATTTACGCGATACGATTGATCATTGACCCAAGGGTGCAGTTACCTTGTGCTCCTGTCACTCACTTCCATACCCTGTGTCTCACTTTGATTGAACGGGTAGTTTGACTCTGGCCAACAGACTTATCAATATCAATCCTTGGATAGTTTATAGCTTGACTTGATCAATTTCAGTTAGTCTCCTTTTGCTATCAAAAATAGCAAGAAAATATACTTTTCTAATCAAGCAGAATAGTTTTTGATTACTTCCCAGAAAAATGTTCAAATCTATATCGATTACAGTTTTAATATTATTACTTTTACAGTTTAATTTTAAAGCTTATAAATCTGTTTTATTTAATGAGATAACTGATCGAATCACAACATTTGAAAGTTATAATTGAAACCATTTTCAAATTTGTAAATATTTTGAAATACAACTAAACAAATGAGACTGTTGTAGACGAGAGAGCTCGACTAGAAGAACAAAGCTATTAAATATTTTAACACAGATTCTAAAATCTATATTTCTTAGCAGATTTCTACAGTTCATCAATATTATCTCCAAGTTTATTCAGACTCCATTAGAAGAAAAATTTCAAATCGTGGCTTTTGTTGCTATCGGAAATCGATTTCTATCGATGTATGAGGGAATTAGGTAAAGTTATCGATAAAATTAAATAAACTTGACTTGTCTATATATATATTATTTATAAATAAGAAAGAAATAAATATAAATAATAAAGAATATAAATATTCCAAGCTTGAAGTCTGGGATCGACTTGTTCCTACAAAAGGACACACAGCCAGACGGATGCTGCTCAAGAATATACATATATATAATTTTTTATCTTGCGCAGAGTATCGCGCAGTCGTTAACCGCACCGCTGGCAAGGCTCTTACTAACTGTTACCGGCTGAGGTGCATTGATCTGCAGCTGTTGCTGTTCGCGCTGCTCCAGCCCTGGTTCTCGCACTCACTCACACAGCGCTTAACCTTGTTTGTCAGACAGATATTGCGCACTCCACCCGCTTCCTCCCCCCCACATCCCCTCCAACCACTCCACCCACTACCCCGCACCAACTTTCGAGAGCGGAGAGCGAGAATCAAGGCAACACTCTCGCTGTTTGTAATTTTGAACTGCTTTTTAACGCGTTTCACGCCCCGTTATGATGATGATGATCATCATGATGATCATGTTAATCCCATGGATGCTCGTTAAGTGGTGCATAAATTAAAAAAGCTGATGAAATTTAACTGACGCGTCGCATAAGCAGCCAAAATGCATATCAAAACAAAATCTGGCCAAAAAAGACAGTTGGCAAAAAAAATGCAAAAAAAATAAGCCCAAATAACCAAAATAAAGAAAAATAAAAACAGAAAATGATGCAGTTATTTTTACACGCCTTCTGCTGCTGTTGTTGTTGTTGTTGCTGTTGCTGTTGTTGCTGTTGTTGTTGTTGCTGCTTCTTGTTGCTCATTGCCGTTACAAGGCAAACGCTACGCCCACCTAAAAATGGGCTCAGAGTCCATTTGGCCAGCCTTTTGGCTGCTATTTATAGAGCAACAACAGCAACAACAGCAACAACAACAACAACAATAATGAGAAAGAGAAAGAATAGCAATGTGTTAGTTGTTGTTGTTGTTGTTGTATTTGCTCACAGCTGCTAATTGAGGCTGTGTGTTGTTGTGGCTGCCATTGCGGTAGGTTCGCATTTGGCGCACGCTGCGTATGATCAATGTTCATATATACACACACATATATATTTACATATATCTGTATATATATATATGTATATATATGTATGTATTTTTAGGTATATCACGCATACGCACCGTGTGGCCCTGTTTGACGGCGCCAAGCTTTGCTATTCTTCCTCAGTTTGGCGCTCGTCGCTTCGCTCGCTTATCTCACGAGCCATTTTTAAAGTCAACTTCGTATCGGCTCGTCTATTTATAGCGAATACCAGCCAACCAGCCAACAACAACAACAACAATAGTGCAAACAACCACAGTAAAACTTATCTATGTAGTCCAGACGATGCCACTCAACATCTGCTTGATCGGAATATCGACAAGCAGTTTGGACAATGCAACAAGTTGACTAATCACTTCTAATTGTTGGTAAACAACGACAAAAAAATACTATCAAATCGACAGGTT